GTGAGCTAGCTTGAAGGGGGTCCCTCTGCCAAATTTGGGACAATTTGACCATCAAAAAGAATAATGATAGTAATAGATTATAACCCCTTCCGAATATACATGAGTTCATAGTGATTGATGCTCACAGAAAGAGAGAAAGAATGAGAGGTAGAGAGAAATTCTTCTTTATGCCAGCTACTAAATACAGATGAAATGATAGAATTTTGAAACAACCATTTTTGCAAGGTCAGTGTAATATCTGGTTCAAGCAAGGATCAGTAATGGATGCTAAAACTTCTGGGCAAAATGTTATTGGCTAATAGGATAGTCACCCAGTCTGGGATTTAAAAAGACAAAGGATATGTAACAACCAAATGTAATGTGTGAACTTCAATTAGACCCTAGATTGAAAAATAAATAAATAAATAAAAGTTGTAATAGATGTTTTGTAACAATTGGGGAAATTTAAACACGGACAGCATATGAGGGTACTTCAAAAAGTTCATGGAAAAATAGAGTTGAAAGATAATACAACACTTTCCATGAACTTTCTCAAGTACCCTAATATATGTGATATTACTGAATTGATGTTAATTTTCTAAGGTGTGATAATGGTACTGGGAATGCTTCAGGAGATGAATACTGAAGTACCTTGAAGTCTGAAACTGACTTTCAGATGTCTCAGTCAATAATCAGTGAATCTAGCTGAAGGATATTTGGGAGCTCATGATACTATTCTTAGAATTTTCTTGTAGGTTTAAATTTTTTTCAAAAAAAATTGAGGGGACAAAAAACTCCTACTTCCTCAAATCAATGAACCCATAAACTGCTAAATGATCCTTCATAACCAATCATGTGTCTTCTCCTTAATAAAGAGCCTCTGTCTCAGGGGTTAACAACCATTAAGTATAAACAAATAAAGGATGATTAACACTGACCAGAGAACCCTGAAATCCTGACCTAGGATGTGGTCAGAATCCTCACTTCACTCTTGAACCAGCTAGATCCAGCTCAAGCTTCCTTTGCAACAAAACATACTTAAGTCTGGTCTCCTTTTCAATGAATCAGACACTGTGTGTCATATGAGCAGCAATTGTAAATTACAAATCTAGCCATTAAAATATTTAATTAACATAGGAACATATTAAGGAAATATCAAAGTATGTGTTAATACTGTATTGTTTTATTAGGGCATGTACAGGGACTCTTTCTCTGAGATGCGCATTTTTCCAGGTGTTCTTTTTAGCAACTCTAAATGTGAACTGAAGTAGCTATTACCATCTGATTCTTACTGAGCAGGAAATTGAGGTGAGCAAGGTTCCCCAGGTACCTGAGAGCAAGCCACATGGTCAGGGACATAGCCCCAATCTTCAGAGTCCCAAGTCCAAAGTGCTCTCTAATTTGTGCCCTATTCCCTTCCCTCATGGAGACCTTTGATTTGTGCAGCTGGTACTAATTAACCACGGGAATGTCTTATCATTTCATATCTCACGGAGAATGTTGATTTTACGGAGTTGATATTATATGGGGTTTCTATTTCTTTCATTTTCCGTTCCCAAGGTTAAGATTGCCTAATGCAATCCTCCAAGGAGGAATTTGAGACCCATAGAAGTTACAGGACTTGCACAAGTGACGTAGGTTTCATGCCAGGATGAAGATTCTCAGACCAAAATTGAAAGGGTAACTTCAATGAATCACTTCTCAAGTCACTTCTTCAACTAAAGCTTTCAGAAACAAGAGCAAAACATTTCTTTGTCCTGTATTGTCAGATAAGAACACATTCTAAAAGCCTGCTACATTTTTTTTCTTTTATTTAATTTTAAACAATTTTCTAATAGAAACTTATCCACACCTTATTTTGCAATGTTTTATATCTTATTTGAGCATATTACAAAAGTAGGTAAAGTGTGAAAGAGAAAAATAGAATGCTAGGATTATTTAAAAGGAAATGAACTTGTATAAACATCAGATAAATATTGAAAAGTCCAGATAACGCAGGCCACGTGATTTGGCTGTCAGCAAATTTAATTAATAATTTATTAGCTTGGACTGAATAAGTAAATGTCCTCTATTGCTGTCAACTCTTTGAAATATAATGACAGAGAGAAATTAGGGTGCTATAGGCATTCTGTCATCAGCTGTTATACAGTTTATTCCTTTCTGTCCTCTAGGAAAGGGCAACCTATCTTTTTTTTTTTTTTGGCGGCTGGCCAGTTTGGGGATCTGAACCCTTGACTTTGGTGTTATCAGCACCATGCTCTCCCGGAGGGAAATCTGTTCTATAAAGAGCAGGACCCATATCCTCATCTTAC